AAAAATCTTCATGAGATTAAGTATTTTCAATAGTAAACACAACACTAGGTTGATATAAATAACTCACATTTATTCAAGTAATGTCCAGGTGCAAAAAAATAAATTGGGCAAAGCTTAAAACTAAATGACTAATAAACAAACTAAGTATGCTCATTATGCTTTTTGTAATAAGCATAACAAACTCCTTTTAGAAAATGAAGTGCTTCCTGGATCAACAAAGTTCTTTTGAAACTAAAAATTGACCTTCTAAAATGATTCTACTTCAACATAGCTTTCATATAGATAAATTGCCACCCTATACACCAGATTTGAATCTCATATATTTTTTTGCTTGGTTAACATAGAGACAAGGATTTGTGTTAAACCTTATAACACATAGGCATCCAGAAAAATTCTAGTGCAAAGAATGGGACAAAATATCATGTGAGTTGTGGCCCAAAGCACAAAGTTATAAGATATATTTACAGGGTCTCGATTAAGACCAATGGTGGCCAATTTGAAAATGTATAAATATGTCAAAGGTAGAAATTGTTCTCATATTTATTTCAAAGTTTGGTTGGGATATCTTAATAAGCATTAAAATTTTGCCTTACATGTGTCTTATTTATTTCTTGTATCCAGTAGAAGTAATTTTTTTTAAATGTTGAAAAACAAAATATTTCATCAAGTAAATAATAGTAAAAAAAAAAAGTTTTATCTTGAATATAGGGTATGAGCACGAGTAACAAAAGGACTCCTAAATGAATAATTTCATAATACTTATCCCTATGGTGCATTTTAGACTTAAAAATGGCACAATATCCTTGAGAAAAGGGCAACTTTCAGTTAAAAAAGTACTTTGTTCATAGAAGACTTTTATATCAAAGCTCATTTCAAGTCCTTTTTTCCCTTTAAAAAATTCTTAATTTTAAACAAATTAAATTTGCATACTCAAGAGAGAGGTTTCAAAATATGCAAAACTCAGGAATAGGAATAGCAGCATAACCATTTTGGAGTAGAAAACTTGGGTATCAAAGCAAGTGAATTTGGTTTTTGGAACACACACACACACCAACAATTAACCCCGCGCCTATCCCCCTAAAAGGGCATTTATCGGTTAATGGTTAAGGTTGGAAGACGAGACAGATAGAAAAAAGAGAGGAAAAAATAGCAAATAGAAACAAAGAGAGAAGAAAATAAAAAGAAATATGAAAAAAAAGAAGCGATTATTCTATTTGTTAGGGCATTTGATTAAAAAGTATCCAGGGCTAATTGGCCAAGTTTAGTTGCGGTTGTTGCTCAATATTGCATAATATTGTCAGTTTTTCATGAAAATTATTTCAGGATTTCCTCGTATTCTTCTAGAAAATTAATGAGGTTAGTTGCCTTCTGTTTCAACTTTGGATTCTTACAGATGGATCTCTTCCAGGCTATGAGGAATTCTAGCTTCGGTTGTTTAAAGTGGTAGGATGTGGTAAGCGGACATTCTATTGCATAATGCCACACTGTTCCTACTCCTCCACAGGCACATGTATTGTCAGTTGCCAGGCAGAATCGCTTTAGATATGCTTTAAAGGGGCCATGCTCTGTAAAGAAGAGGATTAGCTGCCTATTCCATTCCAAAGGTTTAAATGAGACATCTGGTAAAATTTCTCTGATTAATGTTCCTGATTTCGGTTTGTGATGATGCCAGTCCTTTTTAATTTGTGTTTTAGCTTTAAACTTAATAAATGAGTGTGGAACTTTGATTTTAAAAAAATGACTCGTATTGATTGCCTCTTTAGCGAAATTATCTGCTTGTTCGTTTCCCTCGTTGTTATGTGCTTTAATCCATGAGATTTGAAGGTCATTAGTATTATTAAGTAGATTTTGGATGTCTTGTATAATCTGATGAGCGGTATTATAATTCTTAAGTGCTATTATTGTTGATAGGCTGTCTGACCATATTGTAGTTTGGCTTGCGATTTTTTGTTTTATGGCGTGAGTGATGGCTTCCTTTAGTGCTATTGCTTCCGCCTGGAATACTGTGTTGTAAGAACTAAGTTTCAATTGTGTGGTCGATGTAATTATGCCATCTTCATATTGAACAATTGCAGCACCCGTTCCATCAGCCTTCTTGGATCCATCTGTAAATGTTTATTTTTCTTGTTAATCTAGCTTGTTTAATGAATATGAAATCATTTGTCTTTATGTTAAAATTCGCAGGGTGGATATCATTTAATTTAATTTTTTTGTTAATTTGAGTGGAGTGAAAACAGGTGCCATCTATTGTTGAAGAGAAATTTTTATTTCTGATGAGGTTGATTCTTATTGCCTCCAGCTGAAGAGTAATGCGTAATGGAGGTATTGCCAGAATAACCTGCAGGGCATTTGTGGTTTTTGGAACAAATAGTTCTTATATTTTGAGCAACACAGTGCTTGTAAAATTACATTTTTGACCAGACAGGAACATATAAATTTACATTTTATTGCATATTGTCAGAGCTTGGACAAAATGCCTCACTAAATAAAAAATATGAATAGGAAATGCAACAAAGAATAACCCTTAATGATAGATATAATCAGTGTGCTAAGAATTTGAAAGATATTGTTAGCTAACAAGAATTTCTGGTAACAGGTAAAATTATAAGCACCTTCTCCATTTCTAGTTTTTTTCCCTTTTAAATTTGAAAGTTTGTTGAAGACATTGAAGAATAAAAATCAAAAACTAAGAATTCTTATTACAAATAAATGAAATACTAATGAGATTTTGAGATTATGCCTCATATGCTATAAGGTTCATTATAGCATTTTTTTCAATCCTAATTTATAAATTTAGATACAACTCCATCTAAAAAAAATTCCAAAATAATGAACCTCTTACAAAAACTATGCAGTTGTTAAGAATAAAGCATGTTTTACTATTTTTTTAGTAAATTAAATTTTTAAATTTCATTTTTATATTTTTTTAAATTTCATTAGAATTAAATAATTTAAATTTTAATTAGCATTAAAATGATCATCTTTTGGCAGGCCGGATTTTGTGCCAATTTCATCATAAATCAACAAATATGTGTTTACTAATAATAGGATTCAAATCAATCAAGAACCAAGATGATTTAAAAAAATCATATACAGTGTAACGTCCCATATCCGGAAGTCCCTTTCCCGGAAGGGTCGACTTCCCGGACACTTTTTAACAATCAAAATAAACAAACATCTCTCCATCTTCCCCCCTTTCCTTAAAAAAAAAAAAAAAAA